TGCCCAGAGCTGAGGCGTGCCTGGGTGAGGGGAGGGCAGCCCTCTCCCCCTGCAAGCAGCCTGCTGCTCCTGTGTGTGCCCAGACACTGGGACCTGCTGGTGGGGTCTCATTGTTGGCTCAAAGCACGAGTCTTCATCCCATTCCCGTTCTTTGCTTTGTTCTGGGTGAGCGCTTAGGTCCTTTTGGTATCCACCCTTGGTGAGCAGCAAGGCCGTGGCTATGCTGGCAGAGGGCTGGCAGTCCCCACATTCAGCACTTGTCCCCAGTTCCTTGAGGATGTCCCAGAGGTTCTGGGGTGGCCGGGGCAACAGGTTGTTCTGGAAGCAGTACTTCTGAGTTGGAGTGCATGAGCCTGGGATAAACCAACCCCGTTTGGTTCTGACACAAACCATGAGCAGAGCAGGCACCAAGATGGATGTTGCCTGCTATGCTCACAGTACTGCAGGGCTGGTGCAAGGCCCAGCCTCCTGGGATACACTGGGGGCTGGACTGTGGCAGCAGTGAACTGCTCCTGGTCTCCTGGCTCTGCTGATGACTCCTCTGTCCTCCTTTTGGCCTCCAGGACGACATGACCGACTCCCTGCGGGATTACACCAACCTGCCCGAGGCTGCACCCCTGCTCACCATCCTGGACATGTCGGCTCGGGCCAAGTACGTGATGGATGTGGAGGAGATCACGCCCGAAATCGTGGAAGCCTTTGTCAGCGACTTTCTAGCAGACAAGCTAAAACCCGAGCCCATCTAAGGGGCCCCTGCGCCAACAGACGTTATTTAAAACTAGGTCTCTCTTCCGCCGCTTGTGGATTCTCCAGCGTGTCCTCACGCCCGACCCAGTATCCAACCTTCTTGTGGTGCCTTGTTTTACGCAGTGAATCCTTCTCCTAAGCAAACTCCTTGAGATGCACTTTCAGCAGGGAGTTGTTGGCGTTTGGAGACTTCGCTTGTGCTTCATGGTGATATATTCTCTAATAACCAGGCCAGAACTGTTACCATATTGTTATTTTATACATGGCACTAGCTAGCAGGCAAATCTTTTTGCATGGTGTTCTTCCCAACGTATGCATCATGCAGTGGGTGGGGTTCTTGGGGCTCTTTTCTTCTCCCACTTCTTTCCTTTCTCACCACCCCTGCTGACTAAATGAGTTCCAGGAAGCAATAAGGAAATGGTCCCCATCGCCCCTGGCCAGTCCTTTCTCTCCCACGCAAGTGCCCTGACAAGGCCAAGACAAAGTCTTAACTGCTGACAACCTCGAAAGACCACGGCATAGCCAAGCTCTTCCTCCTGGGTGTGAGACCTTCCCTTGTGGGTTTCCCACCCCCCACTCCAAGGACCTACAGCCTTAGGCAGCGCAGGCTGTGCGTGTCAGGATCCATCCCCCTGCCATGGGTAGGTATTCCCTCTGTCCCTCCCACTCTGAGCCAGGAGGATCACCACCGGGCTGCCCTCACCTCTTGTCTCTTCCTTGTGCTCTCCCTGTCCCCTCTCTCCCTCTCTCTCTGGTATGAATTGTTCTCTCCCTTCTGTGTTAGTTGATTGAGCTGTTTTTTCGTAGGTGTGTCCCAAACTCAACGTTAATGGTGCTGTTCTTTAAAAAAAATAACCAAAAAAAAAAAAACCAACCCCAAACCTTAAGAAAAAACCCCTCCCTTAATCCAAGCAGCACAGCCGAGCCCTTGAAAAGTGACATTGTAAAAACTGTACATGGTGATTGGAACTTTGTAATAAAACTGTTACAATGACCTTGTCCCAGGAGGTGCCGATTGCTGCGTCCTGCTGGCAGGGAGAGGGAGCCTGTGTAGGGGGAGAGGAGCCCACAGCCTGACCCCATGGATAGGTGGCTCCTGGGATTGTGTATTTCCCCCCCTTGGGCTCCCACAGCCCCTGGCTGTGCCTGCTCTGCTGAGGTGGCTCAGAGCTCCCCAGGAGGGAGGGAGCCCTTTGGCAGCCACTGGGGCGTTCCCAGCCTGATGTCCCAGCCTGAATAGCCCGTGTTGTGCAAGCCACTGCTTTTCTCTTTCAGCTCATTAGTCAGCTATGGCAGGATTATGGCCTCCTCTTTTATCCTGCTGCAGCTTCCCACCCTGCCAGGAGCTGGGAACGGCCGCCAGCTCAGCCTGTATAAACCCAGCCTGTGTTTTGCACATTTCAGGGGTTCCTGTGTTCAGCTATGATGAACTCACTGAGGACAGTTCCAGGAGCAGCCCAGCACCTCCCAGCAGCGGTGTGGTCAGGATTGCTGGAGCTTGGACACTCCACATCACAGCCAACCCCAACCAGCCTAGCCCACGGTGGGGTTGGGGTGATTGTTGGAGCACAAGGTTTGGGTAAACACAGGCAGGATTCGTTCAGGTGACAGCAATCTGGCCTTTCTGACTCAAAACCACAGCCAGACTGGGAAGGCCACACGCTGTCAGCAGCAGCCTGGCTGGACCAGCACAGATGAGGGATCTGAGGTCTCCACAGATCTGCTGGATGAAAGGGCTGGAGCAGGAGTGAACCAGCTGAGGTGGGGCCAGGGCTGCTATCCGGCCTTTCACTTCCCTTCTCTCTAGCATCACCGTGTGGCCACCACATCCATCGGGAGCCACACACTCATCCCAGCACTCTCCAGCCTTAAATACTCATTTACTACAGACCAAACAGCCCGAGCTGCTCTTTTATTAACTCTCATGGAAACCAAAGGCAAGAGGTGCTCCTTCATCCCCCAAACCACAGCAGTTCAGCCTGGCACAGGCAACTTGTGCCTGTCATCCTCCTGCTTGTGCCTCCACAGCAGCTGCCTCTTGCCCTCAAAAAGCATGATGCCAGCAGCAATGGCAGAGTTCAAGCTGTCCACACCTGGCACCACGGGAATGACCAGTCTCTTCCCCCCCGTGCTGGCTGCAAGCCGAAGTGCGGCCGGACTCAGGCCGTGGGTCTCCCCTCCGATCACCACGGCCACTGGAGCTCGTGCCCAGTCCTCGTAGTAATGCTGTGCAGCCAGCTCTGGGATTCCTGCTGCTCCCTCCTCACCCTCGTGCTCAGGAGGTTGGAGCATGAGGTCCTCAGGGCTGGGTTTCACAGGAGCTTTTGAGCTGGCGGGAGCTGAGCCAGCCCTGTCAGCCCCTCTTGGCACGGACGTGGTGCCGGCCGGAGCGCTGGGGTTGTTGTCGGCCACGCAGACCTGGATACCGGCTGGGAGCTTGGTGGGAACAGATTCCCAGTCCAGGTTGGTGATGATGGGCACACGGAAGTGAGCCCCCATGCCTGCACGGAGCACTTTTGGCTCCCATGGATCCACACAGCCTGGGAAGGAATGGGGAGAAACAGTGACAGCGCATGGATTCCCGCTGAGGGGGATTCAGCAGCCATGCCGAACCATGCCAGCCACTCCGGGGAACATCTTCAAGCACCTCATTCCCTGCCTTACCCCCAGACTACTCAAAATTCGCTCTTACCTTTGGTGAGCAGCACTTTCTCACAGCCTGCTCCTGCTGCAGATCTCAGAATAGTCCCCAGGTTTCCTGGATCTCGGATGTTGTCGCAGATGAGGAGCAGTGGCAGGGAGCTGGCGAGCTGAGCTGCAGGGTAGGACATCTTGGCAGGGTCAGGCTTGGAAAAGATGCCTGAGGAAATGAAGTGTGACAGATTTATGACTGACCCACCCCAAGGAGAGGCCTGGTCTGAGAGAGTTGGCCCAAATCTCTCTAAAGACCTGCTGGAGGAAGTGTTAGGAAAAGCACCACCTAAAGTTAAGTTTGAACAGAGTTTGTCACTTGGCAAGGAAAACTTATTTTCCAGCAGTGCTATGTCTAAGGAAAGAGTATTAAGAGTCATTATCCTAAATAAGAAAAGTTTCCCTTCGGGCAGTGTTGCAACTGTTTCAGAGACAACTTACCTAGAAGCCCCTGAGGAGTTACGAGGTCAGACCAGGTCTTAATGTCTTCAAATTTCACCTTAACCAAGCTGGCTCGTTTTATCTCTGCCTCAGGCAGCAGCTTCAGGTGCCCCACAGTGCTGAAGAAGAGTGTCTGTGGCACAGCTCCTGCCTCCAGTGCATCCTTGATCAGCCTGTGCCCCTCCAGCAGAACCTTCCCGTTATTATCCCGAAACTTCTTCGACTTGGCAATAGTCACCACTTTTCTGTGGAGAAATTATTCAGATAATGTGGCTGTGATGCTCACACCACCTTCAGTCTGACCTTCAGCAGCCCCTGGGAGCTTCTCTGGGCGGTGACAAAGATGATCTGAAGGACTGAGAACCTGTCCTAGGAGAAAAGGCTGGGCAGGTTGGCTCTGGGGTGACCTTAGAGCACCTTTCAGTACCTGAAAGAGCTGGTGAAGGACTTAAGGGCTTGGAGTGCCAGTACAATGAGGAATGGCTTTTAACTGCCAGAGGGCAGGATTAGATGGGATATTGGGAAGGAATTCTTTCCTGTAAGGGTGCTGAGGCCCTGGCACCGGGTAGCTGTAGCTGCCCCTGTATCCCTGCAAGTGTCCAAGGCCAGGCTGGATGCTTGGAGCAGCCAAGTCTGGCAGAAGGTTTCCGTGCCCATGGTAAGGGGTGGAACGGGATTGAGCTTTAAGTTCCCTTCCAACACAACCATCCCCCGGTTCTATGAACCCCTCCCGGTACCTTCAGCCTGCAATGCGTGTCAGTCTCCCCCCTTCCTCCCACGGGCGGAACTCCCCTCCCGTTCAGGAGGGTTCTGAGGGGCAGCACGGCCGGGCCCAGCTCCCCGCGCTCACCCCAGCCTGCGGTCCCCGGGCGCCGCCTTCTCGTACCACAGTCCCGGCGCGGCCGCGCTGCGCTCCACGGCGGCCGGCGGCTGCGGGCGCTCCGCGGGGCTCTGCGGGCTCTGCCGGGGGCTCTGCGGCTGCAGCACCCGCACCGGGCTCCGCCGCAGCGCCCGCACCCCGCGCCGCCCGGCCGGGTCCCCCCGCGGCCTCAGCAGCGCCCGCCCCGCGCGGCCCAGCGCCGCCATCGCCCCGTGACGTCACCGCTGCGCCGCGTGACGTCACGGTGCCGCCGCCATGGCCGCCCGCAGGGCGCTGCACTTCGTCTTCAAAGTGGGCGATCGGGCCCGCACGGCGCGGTTTTACCGGGAGCTGCTGGGCATGAGGGTGAGCGGCGGGGACCGGGGGACCACGGGGCGGCGGCTGCGGCCGCTCCGGGACTGCTGAGAACGGGCGGTTCTGCGGCCTCCGTGTCCTCCCTGGAGCGCGGCCCAGGGGATGAGGATGAGGATGGGATAGGGGTGGGGATGGGGATAGGGAGAAGGGGTGGTGTTGGGATGAGGATGGGATAGGGGTGGGGATAGGGATGGGGATGGGGTTGGGATAAGGGTGGGGATAGGGAGAGGGATGGGGTGGGGAATAGGGATAGGGGTTGGGATGGGGATAGGGGTGGGGTTGGGATGAGGATGGGGTTGGGATAGGGATGGTGTTGGGATATGGATGGGGTTGGGATGAGGATGGTTTGGGATAGGGATGGGGTTTGGATAGGGATAGGGTTGGGATGAGGATGGGTTGGGATAGGGGTGGGGTTGGGATAGGGGTGGGGATGGTGTTGGGATGAGGATGGGTTGGGATAGGGATGGGGTTTGGATAGGGATGGGGCTGGAGCCCACAGCCTGCCCACGCTGATCCCATTCCCACCCGTTTCACCTGGCCTGGGGAAGGCTTTCTGGGTCAGAACGAGGTGATCCTGCGGTCCCCTGCCAACCCCAAGCGTTGTGTGCTTCCCAAGGTGCTGCGGCACGAGGAGTTCGAGGAGGGCTGCAAGGCCAGCTGCAACGGGTGAGTGCCCTGCCTGCCCACCCAGCACCAGCTGTAAAGCAAGGGCTGGGTTGTCTTTGATTAAATTGCTTCCCTTGGAAGCTGCAGCCCCCTGTTCTGTTATATTGAACATAAATACCACACCTATAGATTGATACTTAACTGTGTTGCATTATTTCTTACCAGGAACTACATCCAGCTCCACTGATTGTTTATATAGGCATGGCACCATCGAGGTTCTTGAGTTAAAAATCCCTCTTAGTTGCCCCAAAGGCTTTTGTAAGGAAAAAAGGGTGAAAGAAGAAATAGGCACTCATTTCTTTCTGAAATGGAAGGAATCTTACAGTTTGGTGCCCTTTCCTACTTAGCAATAAGGAAGTAATTATGTAATTGCAGCTAATGAGCAGCCTGTGCTCTTAAAGCAGGAGCTGTTAATGAGGTAGAATTGCTTTTATCATACGGCCACGAACAACAGCCTGGGGTCAAAGCTGCCATGATTTCACTCTAGGAATGCAATTCCTCCTTGAAACGCAAATACTTGCAGTTCTTGGTGGTTACTTTTAATATTAATGACATTAAAATATGGATAATATGGATATTCCAGCCCTTATGATGGAAAATGGAGCAAGACCATGGTGGGCTATGGACCAGAGGACAATCACTTTGTGGCAGAGCTGACTTACAATTATGGCATTGGAGAGTATCGCCTGGGCAACGACTTCCTGGTGAGCTCCACTCCAAGCAGCCAAACTTTCTCGTGATAATCTGATTTACTTCAATACTTAGAAGCTGGTTTGTCACATGGGTTGCACCAGCTGGGGTTTTTTTGTGCTGTTTTGTCCCTTAAACACTTCAGTGTTGCTTTTGTGGTTGTCTTTGAGTTGAAAGAGCAGAAGCCAGAGCAGATTAGTGCTCACATGTGGTCCAGGAAACATTTCTGGAGCTCTGCCTCTGCTCTGTGTGTAGGACAGCTGGTATTTGCTGCCAGACCCAACATGGAATGCTGAACTTGCATGGGAGGATTTGCTGCAGGAAAAACACTCTTATATTTATTATTAATTTTTGTGTGTGTGTGATTTAGTGGCTGGCAGCAGGTGGAGAGCTCCTGTTTCCTTTCTCTGAATCCACCCCATGGATTTTGTTGTGTCCTCTCTAGGGCATCACTCTGGTGTCCAGCCAGGCTGTGAGCAATGCCAGGAAGATGGGCTGGCCCCTCAAAGAAGTCACCTCTGGTGTCTTTGAAGCTGAAGCCCCAGGAGGATACAAGTTCTACCTGGAAGACAAGGAACAGCTCAAGCAAGGTGAAATCTTTACCCTTTCTGGTGTTCAGCAGAGATTTACCAGTGGGGTATCAGAGTGTGTTTACTTTGATGGCATTTTATAAAACAGAACACTTCTTTATCATTTCTCTGTTACTTCTCAGGAATGCAAAACCGTGTGTTTAAACCTATGATAGGTTTGTAGCTAATTTGAAATTATTGCAATCCTCAAGATCCCGTGTGGAAGGTTACCCTGGGTGTCTCAGACCTGCAGAAGTCTGTGAGCTACTGGTCTGGTTTGCTTGGGATGAAAATATATGAGAAGGATGAGGAGAAACAAAGGGCTTTGCTGGGCTACGCTGATAACCAGGTCAGTCCTTGAAAAACTCACCATGAAAACCTCTGGTTTCCTGAGAACAGAATCCTAAAAGGAAAAAAAAAAGTTCTTAATTAAAGGAACTTAATTATGAGTGTTTTAATTGAAGCTGTATACGCTCAGCTATGTTTTTAAAAAAGTCAAAGCTGTGGTTTGCTCTGGTGATTCTGGCTTGCTGGGAAACGCGTGGATGGGGGATTTTGGAATCACTCACATCCTGGAGAAAAAGCTGCAGCCTGGAGAACAGTGTCCCTGAAGCCAGGCTGAGTTTTTCCCTGTTCCAGTGCAAGCTGGAGCTGAAGGCTGTTGGAGGAGCAGTGGATCATGGCACAGCATTTGGACGCATCGCCTTCTCCTGTGCCAAGGAAGAGGTAACAGCCCCACTTCCCTCACCCCTTTCCTTACCCCACAGCTGGGGAAGGCAATTTTTAATGTTAACAAAACAATCCTGAGATAGTTTGTTTATCTTTCTGGCAGCAGGATGATTTTAGTTTGTTTTCTATTCTCAGCTGCCAAACATTGAAGCCCTGATGAAAAAAGAGAATCAGAAAATTTTGACGCCCCTGGTCAGCTTGGACACGCCTGGCAAAGCCACGGTGCAAGTGGTTATTCTGGCTGATCCTGTGAGTAAAACTGGAAACAATGATGAAGTTTGGGTTAAATTGCTCCTTGCCATTGGTTATAACTGAGCTGCTTCCTTTTAGGATGGCCATGAAATCTGTTTTGTGGGAGATGAAGCGTTCAGAGAACTGTCCCAGGTGGACCCTAATGGTGACAAGCTGTTGGATGATGTAAGTGTCTGCACATTAATTTTCTTCCTGATTAGAGAGACCTGTAAAATCCAATTTCCATTCCTTGTTGAGTTTTTTCCTAGAAGCAAATGACCCAAGCTTGTTAAGGAAAATAAATCAGTTTTTAAAGCTCACTTAGTGCCCTGGGTGGAGTTTTCCAGCTCGCTCCTGGGGCATGGTCACGTTATTTGCTGTGGCAAAGAACATTGGTTTTCAGAGTCAGCTCTCCTTACTAGTGACTAGAAAAATAATTTATCCCTCCAGAGAGATTTCCTCCTGTTCTGACCATGTCCACACTTGTCTCTGTGCAGGCCATGGCTGCAGACAACAGTGACAAGTGGTTTGCTGAGCACAACATGAAGAAGGTTTCAGCTTAGCTGGAGGAACGGACTGGGCTGCTCCTCTGTGCCTTGGAGTTCTCCCAAGAAAATTCCAATCCTGGTTAAAGTGCTGCCTTCCCAATCAGAGGATGCTGGGATGTCCCTTGGTGGTTTTTTTGAGTTGGTTTTAGCTGATGTCTCTGGCCTGCTGCTCTCTCCCCTCCAGCAAATAACATCTCCTCCTCCCAAAAAATGGGGCTGTGCAGCAAAGAAGCAGCTGAGCCCTTGGCATCAAAAACAGGAATCATCAGTCAAGAAAACCTCACATTTCTGTGTTGTTGTTACACTTGAAAGAAAGGTTATTTTCTGGTTAATTAATTTTCTGATTAATTTGCTTTAGCTATCCTTTATTTGCAGGCTAGAGAGGAGATTTTCAAGCAGCTCTGGCTACTCCCCCTCTCCAGTGGGGTGTGGGGAGCTGGAGCAGGGAGTTCATCCCTTTATTGGGAACAAAGAAATGATCTTGGCAAAGCATGTGAGTGAATACTCCAGTCCTTGTTTTCATTCCAAGGTGTTTCCCCAACTTCCAAGGTGCAATGTTCACTGGAGAAGCCCTTGGTGTGTTTCTCACTAGGATCCTGGTGTTGATGGGGTGGTTTCCACCCCTTCTCAAGGAGATTTCCACACTCCAGGAGGGGAGCTGAGGCTGTGCTTTGGGGTTTGTAGCTGCACTGTCTGCTGTGCAGCTTGAAATAAGTTTTGCAATTAGCTTTTGGTGAGGAACTTTGGGGATAATACTTCAAGGGTTTATCCTGTTGAAATGAAGTCACTCTGCTTTTGCTGGTGGAATAAAAGCTGGGAATACAGGGGGACATTCCTGGCATTGTTTCTGTCAGGTATGCTGTCTGACTTGCCGTTTTCTTGATGAAAACCTTAAATAAAACACCTTAAATCACGTTTTCATCACAAAACTGAAACGAGTTTTATGGAGATCGGGCAGTGTTGGCACTTCTGAGCTGAAACAGGAAAAATTCCTCGCTGGGCTTTGGTTCGAGCTTTTAAAATTCAGCTTTAACGACGGGTTTGAATCCTATTCGTCAAATTAAACATGTTGATATCGGAGCACGGCAATTAATTAATTGATTAATTAATTCAGCCGACCTCCGCGCCGCCAGGGGGCGCTGCGGGCAGGGCTGGCTGCGTGACGTTCCGCGTCGCCGGCGTGACGTCAGAGCGCGTGTCTGGCGTGACGTCAGAGCGCGGCGCCGCCATGGAGCCGGCGGAGCGCGGTGCCGAGCTGGGCGCGGGCTGTCCCGCGGGGCCGTGGGCCGTGGGCGAGGAGACGGCGATCCTGCACGGCGGGTTCCTGCTGGCCGCCCGCCTGCTGCAGCCGCGGCCGCTGCGGGAGCTGCGCAAAGCCGACTGGCCCCGCGCGGGGGTGCCCATCACCGACGCGCTGCTCGAGATCGGCGAGCGCTGCCCCTCGCCGCTCGGCCTCTGGAAGAAGGAGGCCGTGGCCATCGTGTGGGCGAAAATCCTGCTGCCGGCCCCGCCCGCCGCGGCGCTGGAGTGGGGCTGGAAGGATGACGGGTTCTTCTCGGTGGGTGCGATGATCCCCGATGTCAACCACACCGCGCTCTTCGAGCTGGTCAAGGCGCTGGGCGCGCCCCGGCTCTTCGTGCAGCTGCTGCTGGCGCTGCCTGCGCCCGTGTGCCGGGCACAGCTGGAGAACTTGGTGGAGTACATCTCCAGCGAGACATCCCCGGCGGACGTCAGGTTCTTCTTGGACGTGTGGTGGGAGGTGATGAAGCACGGGGAGGGACGGGAGGATGTGACGGTGGCTGCGTTCGGCGCTCTCATCCATCAGCACGGCGGGGAGGCCTCCCCGGAGGATGGACTGCAGCCCCCAAAGAGGTTCAAGGGTGACCCTGGCAACCCCCCAGCTGCCAGCGGGGTCCCGGTGCTGCTGCTGAAGGGGCTGAAGCAGATCCAGGGCAGCATCGCTCAGCCCCGCCTGAGGTGCTACGCCCTGGCCAACCTGGCTGAGCTGCTGTGCCTGTCTGCTGGGCTGGGGCCAGGGCACGGCCCCCTGCCCGTCACTGAGCACCTGGCCAAGGTCAGTGCCGTGGTCAGCCTCTGGAGCAGCGACACTGACAGCCAGTACCACCCCTGCGGGCTGGCAGAGAAGGTCAGGGAGGCAGAGAGAAGCGTGAGCCTCCTGTCCGTGCCCAAACCCTCTCATGAGGAACTCTTGGGTGGCTTGGACTTGCTCTGCAGCTTGTTGCAGGCCTGGGGAGAGGAGCTGCAGGACACTCTGAGGGGGTCTGAGGAGCTCCGCTTCGAGAGCTACCGGCTCCTGGACACTCTGAGCACCCTTGGGAAGAGCCTGGATTTCCTCCTGGAGACCGGAGACCTGGGGGAGGGCGAGACACGGCTGGTGTTAGAGCTGACACAGCTCACCAGGGACATTTTCAGGGACACCGGTGCTGTCCTGAAGGATTTGGACACGAGCCTTGTGTCTTCGGTTGCCATGGCAATCATTGCACAGAGGCTGGACCGACACGTGGACGTGTGCTCTGTTTTTGCATCGGAAAAGACCTGGGCTTTTTCAAAGGCCTGGGTCGAGTGCCTGGTGGAAAACAAAGCTCTGTTCCAGAGCCCTGAGCTAGTTTTGAAACTGCTGGAGACGCTGGTGAACTTTGCCACATCCCACCATGATAAGGAGAGCCGAGAGCTGCAGATGCAGGTGACCAAAGCCATCGTGGAGTGTTATACTGAGCTTTCATTAAGTGACAAAAACAAAGTGATCTCAGGTGTCCTGGCGTCCTGGGGTGGCCCAGGCCTGTCCCAGAACATCCAGGTTGTCAGGGAGGGGTTCCAGGAGGACCTGAATGTGACTTTAAACCAGATCACAAAGAGTGTGTCTGATGAAGGCCTGACCAGGGCTGTGGCTTCTGTGGCCAGGCTGACACTGCTGTCCCCTGAGGCCACAGTAAAGCAGGTTTGTCATCTTGCTGTGGTCAACCTCAGAGCACACCACTTCCTCGCCCAAATCCTCTGCTCCTTCCCAGCACTGAGCTTCCTGGAGAGCCACAAGGACCCAAGCAGGCCATGCAGCCTGGTGCTGAGGTGTCTGGAGGAGGCAGTGTGGGGGAAGCTTTCCACGGCGAGGGAAGAGGAGCAATTCCTTCAGTTCCTGGCCTTTCTCATGCAGCCAGGCTCAGCCACCCCACTTGTGTCACCTGTAGAGGTGACCAAAGCCTTTGTCCTTCCCTATTTGAAGTCGGACTCTCCTCAGATTGAGCTGAGCCTGCAGATCCTCAGTAAGGTTTTGGGAATGCCATCCTGTTCAGAGGAGCACTGGATCAAATCCTGCCACCCGTTCCCACTTCTCCTCAGCCTCTGCAGACTTCTGGATGGTTACACCAAGTACTGGCAGCAGCCTGGGGAGCAGCTCTTCCCTTCCCTGGAGACCAAAGACCTGATTCTGAACATCCTGTGCCAGCTGTGCGAGCTGGTGGGGCCAGAGACCGTCCCCTCCTCGGAGCTGTGGGTGCAGTCGCTGGCCTGGCTCCACAGGAAGGTGGCATCACTGGACTGGACCGTGGGGCTCCGTCTGAAGAAGCTTTATGGGGACCACTTCAAGAACGAGGTCCCAGCGACGCTGTTTGAGATCTGCAGGCTCCCTGAGGATGAGTGGACGTCGCAGTCGTGGCCAGCCTACGGGCCGGGCAGCGGGCTGCTGGCATGGATGGAGTGCTGCTGCGTGTCCCCAGCGCTCAGGGACACCATGCTGGCCCTGCTCAGCGTCAACGTGGACGACCCCGAAGAGGTGAACCTCTTCAGTAAAGGCTTCCTGGTGGCCCTCATCCAGGTGCTGCCTTGGTGCAGCCACGGCGAGTGGAAGAGGCTGGCGCCCGTGGTGGAGCAGCTGCTGCAGAGGCAGGTGCTGCACGTGCCCTACACCCTGGAGTACGTGCAGCACATGCCCCTGCTCAACCTCCGCCCCTTTGCCTGCCACCTCCAGCTCTCCGTGCTCTTCCTGCGGGCCTTCCAGCTGCTCTGCAGCTGCAGCTGTTCCACCTGGCTGCCACCAGAGGCCTGGCTGCACGTGGTGCAGCTCTACTGCGCCAGCCTGACCGACCTGCTGGCCTCCGTCAAGGCCACGGCGGGAGCCGCGCCGCAGCCCTGCACGCAGGAGGTGTCCTTCGTCTGCATCCAGCTGTTCTGCCACCTGCTGCACGTGGCTGCCATGCTGCCAGCCGGGGGCTGTGAGGAGCCGCTGCTGGTGCTGGCCCTGGAGGTGCTGTCGCTGTACGAGGTGTCCAGCAAGGCCGACGCCTCCCCCTGCGCCGCGCTGCACAGAGCCAACGAGGGACACTTCCTGCAGTCCGTCACCGACAACGTGGGCCACGAGGAGTTGCGCAGCACCCTCCTGCAGAAGCTCAGCAAGCTGGGAACGTGCTCAGAGCACTGATCTGGATGTTGTAATATCTGTAATAAAACCTTATTTTTCACTTTTGAATCTACTGCCTCCCTGCTGTTTCCATCCACTAAGCAATGGAAGTAGCCATTTAAAGATGGGTGGGAGGAGCTGCTTTGGTTTTCCGCTGGAATAACTGGGCACAGCTGTTCCTGTGCAAGCTGCCAGTTCTGTGGCTGCAGCCTTGCCTGCTGGCTCTCTGCATTTACACAGCAGCCTCCAGCATCGAGGAAATCGCTTCCCTCTGGCTGCTTTGCCACCAGCCCTCTCCTAGTCCCAGGAGAATTGCTGGTTTTGCCACGTGCTGCCAGAGGCTGGAAAGCGAATTGGAGGCTGGGAAGCGAGTTGGGTGAGTTCAGGACAGGCAGGAACTTTTGGAAATCTGTGTGTGCTGCTCCTGCCCGGAGGTGGGGGTGCAGCAGTAAGCCCACATGTAACACCCCCACCCAGCAATGAACGGCACGTGGAAGAGCCAGCCAGTGGTGTGACTCAGAGAGGAAATCTTTATTGGTCTCCTGACAGTAAATAGGGCAGTGTTAGTGCAAACTGAGGTGCCTCATTGGCTGGAGGTTTTTTTTTCTCCTTACATAAGGCACATTTTTCGCAATGAAAACAGTGAGATACAACATCTGTAATGAGTTGCAAGCTGTTTGTAACATCAACTGGTCTCTGTGGTCATCCGTGGTTACTGTGACTGTGGTGTCTCTGCAACAGCAACCACAGGTCAGAAGAGGCCCTTTTTGTTACTTTACACTATATCCAGAACAGCAGCCGTGGTTGGGATGAGATCCAACACCCAAAAGATCCAGGTTTCCCAGAGCTTGGCTGCTGGTTTCAGACAGAACGAAAGGCACAGAGTGGTCACAGGTCTCTGGGCATGGAGCTGTGCCAGGGCTGTGCCAGGGCTGTTCCTGCCCTGGAGCAGGCACAGGAAGCTGCAGGAGGAGGTGCCTGCCCTGGCTGGTGCCGGCTGCAGGGAAGGAACGCAGCCGTGGTCTGATGCACACACCCTGTGGTGCAGGGTGGGCTGGGGAGCCTGTACCCATTTTGCTGTGACTGAAAGTGGAAATGGGCTGAACCAGTGAAGGACCAGCTCAGGATCCTGCTGTGGGGTTGCTGGATCCTTCGGTGCAGCCCCAGTTCTGTCCCTGGCAGCCCCATGGCGGGTGGGATGGGGCTGGAGGGATCCATTGTACAGGTGTTCCCAGGGTGTGGTGGTGCCAGCTGGAGAGCAGAGCAGAGCAATGTCTACCAGATGGTTTTAAATTCCTCCTGAGGGGATGCAGGGCAGATAAAAGCAGCTGTGCTTAAGGAAGGGAAAATTGTAGCCTCTGCATAGTGCCCTGTGTGGCGGTGAGACAAGGACTCGGCAGCTTCCTGTCCTCCTCCTGCCCTGAGACAGCAGAACCGTTCCCCTGTGGTGGCATGAGCCCTCCAGCCCTGCTGGGAACACGGGAGTCCCCCAGGGCTGTCAGACACTGCAGTGGAAAGCACCGGAGGGTAAGTGGAGCTTGAGCCCAGCAGCTGCAGCGGGAGGTGCACATGGGAGGCCAGAGGCCGAGCAGGCTGTAGTGTAGAGCTGAAGTCAGTAAAGGTCAGGAACGGCTCTCAGAGCTGTGCTGCAGCTCCAGGCCTGGCTGGGGCTGCAGCAGCTCCGGCACAAGCTCCCCATCCCCGGGGCTGGGCTCGCTGCAGCATCCCCGCGCCGGTGCCAGCCCTGGGAGACGCGCCGGGGGGCTGCAGCAAACCCCTCTCGTGGAACCCTCGGTTCGGCGGTGCTGCAGAGCTGAATCCCACAGGGAATGCCGTGCTTCCAGGCCGGCTCCCACCCCGGCGGGAGGACACGGAGCACCGGAGCGGTGTGGGAGGAAACCTTCCTCGCCCAGGCTGATGCTGCCTGGCACGGCACTGGAGACCGGAGGCTGCTTCCAGCTCCAGCAGAACCGCTGCTCCCGGTCCCGGGGAAGGGCCGGGGGCTGCCTGTGTGCCAGCTCCGTTATCTGCTCCGTTATCAGCTCCGTTATCTGCTCCGGTGGGCCGGGGAGCCGCCGTAGAGCCGGGCAGCCTTGCGGCAGATGAGCCTGAACCAGTAGAGCTGGGGGGCGATGAGGGACGCGTTGGCGATGTTGCAGTGCAGGGGGATGCGGAACGGCACCAGGTAGAGCGGGATCCCCACCTGGCGGGCGTAGGCCGCGTACATGAAGGGGAAGAGGAGGATGCGGCACAGGAAGAAGGTCACTAGGATGAGGATCCCATTCACCTTGTGCAGGAGCGTGTCCTGCATTTTGAGCTGGGGGAAGAAGGAGGGGAGTGCGGGGTGAGAAGCGCCCCCAGCGCTCTGGGGCACTGGCGGTGCTGGGAGCAATGAGATGAGCATCCAGGAGGGCTGGAGGAAGGGGAGTAGGAAGGTGGGGGTGGGAAGGGATGGAGGAGGGCAGGGGTGGGAATGAACGTGGTGCAGGGGGGGAACAGGCAGGAGAGGGCAGCACCAGCCCACAGCACAGCCCCCAGTTCTGGGTGTGCTGGTTACTGGGGGAAAGGGATGGGACACTGGGAGGAAGGCAGCAGTGCAGGGGAGATTTGGGGCTGTGGGGCTGCCCCTCCCTGAGACACCCCAAGCTCAGCCACTGCCTGGGGAGGAGCTGATGGAGCCTGGGGCAGGGAGAGGAGGTGAACTGCTGTGGCTTCCCTGCCCCATCCCTCCTCACCTACCTGCATGAGGATTTTGCCCAGCGATACAAAAGGTGTGCTCAGCTCTGCTATGAAGATGCAGCCCACGAAGAAGTCCCCCAGCTCTCCCCTGAAGTGCTGTAAAGAAAGCCAGCACTGAGCCTGGGGCCCTGCAAAGAGGTGGCCAGGAGCCAACACCCAGTGTGTTCAGGGGGTCCTGGACTCCTGCAGCAGCCCTTACCTGGGTGATGGGGGTGAGCACGATGAGGATGAAGAGGTGGTGGGTCACCATCAGCCGCTCCTGCAGGAGGAAGCTCCACACGCTGGCCAGAGAGTGCTTTTTCTCCAGGATCCCCTTCTCCTGGCTCTTGTGCCAGTGGCACAGGTACATGACATAGATGTCATAGGTCATGTAGGGAACCAGGACCCATATGTACTCCACAGCCAGCCAGTGCCTGGGGAGGAGCAGCACACACAGAGGCATCACAACGGCTCCAAGCACTTTGTGATGCTCTGGGAGGTGGAAGAGCCTTTAGGACTGAAATGGCAGCATTTCAATGGGTTTTGAAGCTGGAAGGGGGTGAATTTTGAGTCTGTTTGGCTCAGCCAGGTACAGGCTGATTCAGAGAAAAGGTGCCTGGTACGTGTGGAGGACGGATCTCAGTGCTGACCCTGCTCCTGCTGGGCTGTGCCAGGCACTGAGCTCAGCCTGGCCAAGCACAAACACGGCGCTAACGAAGGATCCTGATTAGCCCCACAGCCAGGAGTTTGCAGCACGGACCAGGGGCACAGCATTTTTTGGGATCTAGCACCAAGCTGACTCCTTTGCACATGTGATCTCCTCTCCTAAGCCCTGGAGCTGGTGCTTGGTGGTGGAAAACCCTAATCCTGTGTCTCTCCTGCCTGTCACACTGCATCAGCTGGCTGCCTAATCCAGAGAATCTTTGGGAAGCACATGGAGAACTCAGAGTTAACCAGGGATGGCTGGCCTGGAGTTTGGAGAGTGAAGCACAAAATATCCAACAGAGGCAATAAACCCCCATGAGGCATTTGTCTGTTGGGAAATAATTGCAGGCAGCTGCCTGTTCCCAAAGCGTGTTGGAATCCTGGTTGCACAATCTGGGCAGCAGCAAGCCCTGCTCTGCAGGGACACTGGCCTCCTTAAAAAATCCTGCCTGAAATCACACTGATAAATAAAAAATAAATAAATAAAATTAAAGTAAAAAAAAAAAAGACAAAAAAAAATAAAGACAAAGCCCCCCTATGCTGTTGCTTGGAGAAATGTAGCTTGGGGCTCAAATCTCTTTTTGATCTCCTGCCATCCCAAGAAAAGATTTGTTGCAGGAGTTCCAGATGGAAAGATGTAAGTGGTGTCAAGCACGGGTGGCAAGTGATTGTGTTTGCAAAAGTTGCCCAGGGCTTTGGAGGGCAATTACAGCACCGGCCATATAACGATTGTCTGCCTCTAAATAAATTGGCAAATTTTACTGCAACCTTTGTGATGCTTCCTGGCTCGCTGTCTTGCTGTCATTCTCCGAGGCCTTCCCTGCTGAGCACTGGGCTCAATTTCCTCCAGATTCAAAGAAAATCTAGGTTTCTGCCCACAAAGTGTTTGCACAGAGCCCTTGGCCTTGAGTACACCCGGGCAAGCAGACAGCTCTGGGGGAAGGAGGGCTGCTGGCAGCACCTTCTGTCTGTGTGGCTTTGGGATTCATCATCTGCCTTATCTATACAGCAGAAATTTTATTTCAGAGCAAAAAGGTCACTCATAGACTGCTTGGGTTAAGCAGGCCTGAGGAGTCTGGATCTATCCAGAGCAAGGCAAGATAATTCATATCTGTGTATTAAAGACAGGTCTGCTATGACCAAGTTGGAAGCCCTTCCTAAAAATCACCCTAAAATCAGTGTGTGATGGTTGAATTCCAGTTCAGCATAATTATATTCTTCCCCTCTGCAATCTTCTCTGCTAGTCTGGATAATAGCTCTGTTTTTAAGTCTTCTGACCCAGATTACGCTATCATTCCTCTTGAGAATCACTTCTGGGCAGTTTATCCCAGAGCTCTGAGGACAAGGCAGCAGGATTTTCCTTCAGAGGAATTCAACTTTACCATTCCATTCCAACTTTACCATTTCTGGACTCTTTCAGAATCCTTTCTGATGCACCTCTAAAATCAGTCCTCACCAGGTCTGCTTGACTCAGTAGCAATTTCTGCTTCCAGCAAGGAGACTCCCTAGCCCTTCAGAGCTGATGATGTCTATATTTTTCTCTATATACAGCCCATGTTACAGCCCATCCTTTGGAGGAGACTGTGCTGGCTGAGCCCTCCCAGGCCTGAGCAAGCTGCTGCTGTTCAGGGGGTGTACATCCAGCTCATTGCCCAACCCTTCCAGCTGAACTGGGGAAAAGAGGAACATGAATCTGGTTTTCCTCTCCCCTTTGTACGTGCAAACCTTTGGCAGCAAACCCTCCAGCCCCGAGCTGGCTGAGCACATCCCTGGGACAGTGGGACCGGGTGGGCACTGGGTTACCTGTCATGCACCACGTTCTTGCAGCTGAGGACAACCGTGATCCCTGACACTGTTGCCATGGTGGCTTGCACTGTTGACACCAGCCTGAAAGGAAGAGAGAGGAAAGGGGTCACCCCAAACGTGACCCCACAAGGACCGAGGCACAGGGAGAGCCGGTGGTTCACAGCCGCCTACTCCGTGCACACCCCAGTGCCTCGTCACGGCGAGGCTGTGCCAGGCGCTGCCTCCCGGGGGATTCTTGCCAAGTCCCGTCCCTTCCACCCCCGTGGAACGGGACAGGATTTGGTTCTCACCCCCGGTGGTAACGCTGCCGGTTCCCCGTGGGCAGAGGGAGAGCTGCACCGGAGCATCCCCGCCCCGACAAACGGTACCACGGTGCGGGGTCCGGCCGGGCTGAGACACTCGTGCTCGGGGGGATGCTCTCACTCGGGGGGGATGCCCATGCTCGAAGTGCTGCTCCTGCCGCCGATCCTTTCTCCCCTCGTGGTCTGTGCTCGGGACGGCCAAGGACCATCCCCCGGAGCGTCACGGCACCCCCGAGCCCAGGCTCACGGCCGGCGGGACCCGGCGCTCTTGGCCCGCCCGGATCGCTCCCGGTCCCGCTCCCGGTCCCCATCCCGGTCCCGGCAGGTCCCGCCGCCGTGCGCGTCACCTCCCGCCGCTCCCGCCCGTACCTGCCGCTGAGGAGGATGCGGTCCTTGAGGCTCCATCCCGGGGCGGCCCAGCGCAGCAACCGGATGCAGAGGATGAAGAGCCCCGGGAAGAAGGCGGAGGCGAGGGCCAGCGTCCGCCACATGGGGACGAGCGCGCTGTCTCCCGTCGCCGCTTGTCAACAGCCGGCCGGGCGGCGGGAGAGCCCGGCTGGGCTCAGCTTAGCTCGGCCGGGCTCAGCTGGGCTGTGCTGGGCTCGGTTCGGCTCGGCTCGGTCCGGACCAGCCCCGCCGCTCCCGCCGCTGCCCGGACGCGCCCCGCTCCGCCGGGCGGAGGCTCCGCCCCCGTCCGGTTAAACCCCGCCCACCCAGCGAGACCCCGCCCACCGAACCCCGCCCCCTCGGTCGGGCCCCGCCCCGCGCGCTGCCGGCGGAAGCGGCGCCGCCATGGAGGAGGACGAGCCGGAGCTGGAGGCCGGGCTGGAGGCGGCGCTGGAGCTGGCGCCCGCCGTGCAGGCCGCCATCGAGCAGGTGCGCCGGGCGGGTCCCCCCGCTCAGGGGACAGGTGCGAGCGCGACCCGGGGCCGCTCGGTGAGGGCCCGCGGCCGCCTCTGAGCCCCTCCCCGCCGGCTCCGGGCCTTCCGCTGCCGGGCCCGGGGAGCCCCGGGCCGGCCGTGCCCGGCGAGGGGCAGAGCCCCGTCAGCCCCGGGTGGGCTCGGACCGGCCGGGCCCGCGCTGGGGGCTGGGCGTGGCTCGTCGTGTCCCGGTCAGTGCGAGCCGTGCGGTGCTGGCGGTGCTGAGGCGGCTCTGTCGCTAATTGCAGACGTGTTAGGTGGTGTGGAAACACCCCAGTGCAGCGCCTGTGGCTCGGCTGGAGTAATCGAAATGGCTTGGTTCGGCTGTGGTGAACACACGTGGGTTTTTTCCATCCAGACGGTGCTGGGCAGTGCCCAGGCTCCCCAGGGAATGGTCCCGGCCCCGAGGCTGCCGCAGCTCCAGGACAGCGCTGCCAGGGATGCCAGGCTGGGATTGCTGGGGTGTCTGTGCAGGGCCAGGAGCTGGACTTGATAATCCTTTTAGGGCCCCTACAATTCATGGGTTCCAGTGTTCCCTTAAAGCCTTCGTGGCACTTGGAACCCATCAGTATCCCGTGGGAACCCTGGGTAAAACCATGGCTCTTGTTCTCTGTGGCTGAGCCTGCACTGCCTGCAGCCGACCCTTCCATCTCAAACTCTCTTCCCTGTAGCAGAAGTCTGGGCAGTAGCAGTGTCTGTCTCACAAAATATCACTGAAATAAGTTTTTACACTTTCTTGAGTGTTGAGTCTTCTGGGTCACTTTTGGTGGCCCTCCTCAAAGAGTAGGGGGAGGCCCTGGGAACTGGTAAATTAAATGGCAGCTTCTAAAGGGGACCTAGAGCCTGTCCAGAGGAAGAATCCTCTGCACTTGTAGACATGAGTTTTTGAGCAGTGGAGAATCCACAACGTGCCTGGCTGAATTATTTTAACAAACTGTAAAGTTGTAGGAAAACATTCACATCCTGAGCACTGGGAGATGTTGAGGATGACACCGCCTGCTGCTTTCCAACTTCCTCTCTGGCACTTCCCAACCCAGTAATCCCGTTCTTCCTGTCAGTGTTCCTTAACCAGTTTTGGGCAAAACCTGCCCAGTTCTGGTTAAATGAGCAGAGCTGGCTCAGCTGCCCTGCCGGAAGCGGGGTGGGGAGCACAGGCAGAACTGGTGCCCCACCAAAGGCAGGGTAGCATTTCTGATTAATAGGTTGTGACAAACTCCTGGGAGTGACAGCTCCCACAGCTGCTCCGTCTGCCTGCAGCACTGATCCCTATCTGCAGTGTGAGTGGAGTTCCTGAGCAGCCTTTATCTCCCATCTCACCTCTTGTTTCATCTGCTCTTAATACTTGTGGAGATTTGGGGTTAGTGGGGATAGGTTGAGTGTGAGTTGTGAGCAGGACAGGCTGGGTGTGATGCTGCAGTTGTGCTCTTGTATGAGGTGATGTCAGAGCATTTTCCTCACTCACCAGGACCTCATGCATGTTTAACTGCTGCCTGCTTCTCCTTGGCCACAGGAGTGACTGGGAAAGCTTCCCAGGAGGGCTGGTTCAGGCAGAATATCCTTTTATCTCACAAAATCGCTGATTTTTCAGTGCAAAATGTGTAAAACAACATAAATGCTTTATATGCCCGTATGTGAAGGCTTTCATTGAGCAGGGGGATGCTGTGGGGTTGCCTTTGCTTCTTCCAGGGGGGTTGCTGGCCATGGAGTGCAGAGCTGATGGCTCTGTAAGTATGGGACAAATATCAGAATCATGGAATGCTTTGGGTTGGAAGGGACCTTAAAGACCATCTCATTCCTTCCACAGCTTCCACCATCCCAGGTTGCTCCAAACCTCATCCAGACTGACCTTGAACCCTTCCAGTGATGGGACACCCACAGCTTCAGTGTGGTAGCAGGGAAGGGAAAGCACCACACTTCGGTCTGAGGGGACAAAAAGCAAAGCCTGGCAGTCATGTTTGTGTTGTTTGAACTCTTCTGAGGAGAGATGAGATCTGTTTGCACCACAGCTGCACTTTCCCCCTTCCCAAATCATTCAGCAGATTGTGTTTCTCTCCCTCTTCTGTGAAAAGTGGCAAACCCAAGTCTCCAGAGAACTTGTACAACCACTCCTTAATTCATCACGTTTCCTATTACACAGCTGTGGAAAGCAAACCCTCTGTCTGTCACCATGAGGCCTGGCAAAGCTCCTGCCAAGAGCAGGGCAGAGCCTCACTTTGTTCCCAGACAACAACAAAAGCATCAGGATGGTTTGGGATACACAATTAGTGGTTTGTATGTCTTGGGAATTCCTGGATGGATTGTGCCAGGGGTGTGTGTGAATTATCTGTGTTTATCCAGGCTGATATCCACAGGAATTTTGGGAGGTCAGAGCCCTGCAGAGCACGTGGCTGCTCTACTCCTGGCCATTAGTTAGAGAAATGCTGTGAAACACAACTGGAAGCAGGTGCTGAAGGAATTAAAAGTAGTAGAAACTGTGTAAAGTTACAGAAATTACAGATGGTGGTTGATTGTGCTTGTTTTCCTCCCTCTTTCCAGGTATTTCCCAGCCAAGATCCACTGGACAGAGCAGATTTCAATGCTGTGGAGTATATTAATGCTCTCTTTCCCACTGAGCAAGTAAGTAATGCCCCAAATACTCTCAGACTTTACTTTCACACTTTTTACTATCAGATTTTACTTCCACCCTTTACTATTAGCCTGACAGCAAATGACCAAAGCAGTGTTTAAACGTGTACCCAAACATTTTATTTTAAACACTAGCACAGGAAATGAAGCTGCAACAATAATAATTTCTTAAATTTGCAGCTCATGGGGTCTGCTGTCATTATGTAGTCTCTTTCAAACCAGAGTGCTTGCTGCAGTTAAAGTCTTGCTTTGATATGTAGAAATAAATTAATTTTCTGTATAGATGGAGTAAATGTCATAACTTGCCATGTATCAATCATTGGTGAGTTGCTGGGGTTTTCAGCCAAATCAGGCAGGTGTTGCCTGTACAATGTCACAGGAGAGTTTGAACCCAGTTGTTTCTTTTAAGATTTAAAGAATGAGATTGCTGTGGGCCCACATCCGTGCTTTGTGTTCACAACTTCAGCCCCAGGGGGAGTTTTAGATGAACCTCTTGTAATACAGAGACATTTCTACAGCTGAAGTTTGTGTTGTGAGGCTGCTCTAACATTTCCCATGTCTGAGATCCTCTGCAGCACTGCTGGTTTTAACTTGCAGCTTTTTCTGGTGGTGTGGCTTGGCTATTTTCCTTTTGCCAGCAGTGAGGAGCTGTTTCCCCAGCAGTGCCTTCACTGCATCTCCTTTCAGCCTGTTTTCTGTGTGTCTGGGCTCTGCAGGGGGGTCTCAGCCCAAAGGCTCTGTCCCCATGCCCACTGGAGGTCACTCTCACACAGTTTTGGTGACAAAGGACAAGGCAGAGCTCGGGGATGGGGGAAGCCCTGACCTTTTTCTGCTTTTTGTGATGTGGCAGAGAAGCAGCTGAGTTGTTGTCTCAGTGCCTTCACCTGTAAAACAAAGCCATTGCTCTCCTCTTCTTCATGGCCCCTGTGTCATAGAGTGTTTGGGATCACAGCTGACAAATTCCTCTTTAAAACATTCACCATTTCACTTCTCTCTGATTTCTTTTTATGTTCCAGTCTTTGGCAAACATCGATGAAGTTGTGAACAAGATCAGATTGAAAATAAGGTAAATATTTTTTCCATTTTGTTGCAGCTCAGGTGGCTTGGTCTGGTTGTCACCAATAAATGCAGCCTTTGTTCTACAGCTGACAGGATTTAGTTTGTTAAAAAGGCATGGATAGGACCAACCTCGAGTCTAACAGTGGCACCAAAACAATTAGACTTTTTATATTTCACTTTTATTATGTGCCCTGAAGGCTGTTTAAGCTGATGGGTTGCAAAGTGCAGCCTTGAAAAACAACTGAGAGTCAAAAAGTACCAAATTTTAGTACAGTTTGAGGGCTGAGTGAGCAAACTACCCAAAAGACTCAATTGCCAAGAATTCATTGTTTTTGGGTTCAGAATATCAGTTGTAAAAACTCTCACTCTGTATTTTTGAATTGTCATTATTGGTCCTAAAAGTACAAAATAAACACAGGTGTGCATGAAATACTTAAATTTTCTGTGCTGGCTGATATTGCCAGCATGAAATGATTGAGACAGCACTTTCATATGTGGGAAGTTGAAATGCAAACAGACAAGGGAGAGCTGACAATATTGCTTAAGGGAACAGGAAAGCAAGAAACCCTGGTTAAATTAGGAAATGGATTTTTATTTTTGCAAGAGGACTTTTAAATTGTGTAAGGCAGTGCCACTGAACAGAGAGGGAGGGGGGAAATAATGAGTTTAGCATTGGTAACATCAGGTTTTTTTTATTTTAAGTTGGTTCTGTAAGTCTCGGGATTCCCCCAGCTGTTTGGGTCAGGCTGACAGAGACTGGGTTTGATGCTCTGGGGTTTTTCCTGCAGGAGGTTGGATGACAACATTCGAACTGTGGTGAGGGGACAGACCAACGTGGGACAGGATGGCAGGCAGGTATGTGCAGCCAGGAATGCCAGGGGTTCTCAGCTTGGGATGTCACTGAGGAATGGCTCTGGCAGGGAAAACCCCACTGCTCTTGTTACTGAGATGTTTCTGTGCCTCTTGCACTGATGAGCTGCTCCCTCAGCAGCTGTTCTGACCTGCCTCACCCTCTGAAGGAAAG